TAAATATATTTAAAATTATTCTTTTTTTATGATCAAAGAGGATATTTAATTATTCATATCATATTTAATAAAAGCTTTCTAAAGCTTCTTTCTCTTAACACCTCTTAACACATATATTTTTTTAGCAAAATTTCTATAATAAATTAAACACGATTCTCTTTTTTAAATCTTAATTTAATATCATATTTAATTATATTGAGAATAAATGTTAATTGACAATATTATTCCGTTTTGCGATCCTCCTCTTAATATTGCTTTTTGACTGGCGATCATCAATTTACTAGTCTATTAATTTTGTCAGATATTAATAACAAGCGTAATGAAAACGATAAACAAATATCAAAGTTCAATTGTTACTGAAATATTATTTTCTCAATGCTCGCGCAAAGGTTAACACGTGCGCTTGCTGATCTTGCTTGATTTTTGCATTCGGCCAATCGATTGAATCCCTCGTCGTGTGTTGTTATGTCACGACGCGTTTAAACATACCTCCATACTGTATATGTACTTGATGTCCGCTTTGCGGAGATAACGTCCTGTCAAGTATCGAGTGGCTTCGGCGCTTGTCAAAACAAGCCGCCGAGAATACTCGCCACGTGGATGGAAATAGCGGCACGCCAGTCCAAAATACGCACGCATCGGAAGGAAGATGATGGAACGCGGGTGCATGTCGAGACATTCGTTTGATGCATACACGCCAGTGGTGTAACTAATGGCCTCGAACACCCGTTGCCAGCGAAATCAAAGCCTAAAGAAGAGAGAAGAGAAAGAGAGAAAAAGAAGGAAGAAACAGAAAAAAAGAGAAATGAAAGGAGAAAATATGGAGCAAAAAAAGAAAGAAAGGAGAACGCAAGAAAAGAGAAAAACCGAGCAAAGAAAGAAAAAAAACAAAGAAAAATAAATATTATTGTTGATAATTTTTTGAAGAACAAATTATTATATAAAAAGATTTATTCTATATTTTTTTACGATTCTAATGCTTTTGTATCAAATTGTAATAATTGTGTTAGTTAATATTAATAACGAGCCTGTTATATGTTTAATACATGGAATCTTACTCGTACAGTTCGTTTCAGATTGGAGCGTATATTGAAACACATGATACGTAATAAAGCAACGAAAAGTGGGCCGAGGATATGCCACAGCTTGTGGGTCGTCTAGTAAAGATTAAATAAGTAAAGATCTTAAAATATTCTTTGGAGTATTACGTACTCGTATGTCAACGAATATCAGAACACTTCGCGAACGATGAATTTATCTTGGCACTCTTGGAATCGAGCAAATGACGTCTAGACGCCCTCATCAAACGTCATTAGAATGGCAAATGTACAGACGTACTTAATGACAGATTGGATGTAATATAACAAAGCAATTTAGAGATAAGGCAACATATTTTTACAACACGAAGATAGCACAGCGTTTAAGTCAATGTAAAAGAAAAAATGAGTTAAAAATATAATATATTCAATTTAAGAATAGATATTAAATAAATAAGAATATATTATGAAGAAAACAAAATATTTTAAAATTATTTCAAAGTTTGTAATTAACTGATTAAATTGTTTTAATGATCAAAGATTTAATTGCCCAATATTTTCACATTTTTAGAATTACAGATTTATTATTTAATTTAATAATATATATTTTACTTATAAATTTAAAATTCAAAAGATACATATATGTAATTTAAATAGAGAGCCATAGAGAGTTAAAAAGTTTCATAATTAAATATTGATTTGAGAAAACCGCGTGAAGTGTGTACAAAAAAGATCTCATTAAATGTTAATAGAATGTAATTAAATTGTTTTAGAAACAAAGGCTTAAAGGTACAAGTTGAAAGAGGTTTTAAGTGTTCTCGAGATTCGCAAAATGATTAAACTGGTTCTTGCGAAATGCCTCGGTTATTCACGTGCGCCTCGTAAGAAAAAAGTAGAAATTCCTGGGTCGCAAGCTCTTACCGTAATATCAAGGTCGAGCTTGGAATTTCTGCATTATTAAAGTTGACTAATGACCTCGCTAATGGTGCGCAGGCTTGAATCGATGTGTATGCAAGTATTAAATGATGCGATATTCCGTTCGGTGTTGCGCAACGTTTTGTTGCTAATTTCTATGAACCGCAAATCTGTACATCTGTCGATCTTTCTGTCAATTATTATAACAAGACCGCTAAGCGTGATACAAAGTAAAACGATGCGTGTAACATATCATATTTGTTATATCGCGCATCTATTTGCATTGATGGGGTGATTCCAGGGGAATGAGAGACAGAGACGCGAGGGTAGTTCGTCGCTTTCAGCTGGCCCGGGTATCCAGGGTTCGTCGTCGTCATAGCGACACCCGAGCCATGGCTAACCGCCCCATTCTACGGTATAGCCAGATGTAGACCGCGTAGGTGTTACAGGTTGAAAAATCCAAGCGACGCGCCCTAATTAATCCGCTGCACAATTCAATTTGCACTTTCGCTGGAAGTTACACAAGACGTAATCCAAATAATGGATTTATCTGTGCAAGATAGATCTGTTGCTTTTGATGCCAGGTTTTTAATAGTAAAATGGTGAAGGAAAATATCTTTCATAAAAAAAAAATTTAGTCAAACAAATTAATACAGACCTACACAACAGATATTAATAACAGATAATATTGTAGTCAATGATATAAATAAATTATTTGAATTTCAGAATAATTAAAATCTAGAATTACACACATATATATATATATATACGCATATTAAAATAAAAGAGTGATGGAAAAAATTATGTAACACTTATTATTTCAGTTTTATATAATATTTTAAGATTTATTTCGATATATACAAAACATTGCTTCGCATTAACGGAGGCTACGCGCGACAGCTTTCTCGCAAAAGTTTCTCCATTCGTTTATCTTATCACTCATTGTTCAATTCGGACAATACAGAGGAATAGCGGTGAGATACGAAACGATTGTCCGAATGTTGTCGAGTAACAATATCATAATGCTTACGCGTGTATACTCCCACATTCAATGTACAAATATATAGAAACACGCATTCGCATGGATTTCCAATCCTTAATGCGTTCTTTATGTCGATCCTTCCGAGTCTACAATTCATCTGGATAACAATCTGCTCACGGAATCGTAACAGAAGGATTGTACATGAGTCCCACACGTTGCGATTTATTTATTGGTGATTTCATGCTTGCGGGAAATTACGTGCGCGCGTTGGAAGCGGATAAAATTAAACCAACGTCTCTTTTTCTCCAACGCATCACGACTTTTCTAGTTCAGTCTTATAATTTTGCATTCGCGTAATTCGGGCATTTAGGCAAATTGTATTTTTTTCGTGAAATGCAAATCAGTTCGATTCGGCTCGTTATACGATCACAAATAAAGAAGTATTGTTTAATAAATTATAATTATAATTGAAATTATTATGTGAATTCCTTATAATACAAATTAAATTGTTTGAATGACTCACGACAGCCATTGTAAGGTGTAAGCGATAAATTTGGCAACCAAGTTTACACTTGGTCGCGAAATGCCAGTTTCATATATCGCTGTCCGTGGGCGTTTTAATGCAGGTTTTGTTAGCAAAAGACTATTACAACTGTTGGAAATCGCAACGTGCATGCAATATTACGCTATATCTATATCACCGTTACAAAATGGCGTAACTAATGTACAAACGTAACCTCTATGCGCTACACCATAAACTGCTACAAGAATATATGTGTACTATATTTGCCTACGTATATACGTACACACGTATCTATATATATATACATACCTAGCACAAATGCAAATGTATATATCCCTCTATATAAATGTATTTACACTTGTGTGATTTACATTTTGTCGTTAATGATACTTCCAATAATCATCCATCTCATACTGTGATCCCTATTTAATGACCAAATTTTTGACTATTTTTAACTATTTTCGACATTTTTTTTCGACATTAGTTATCTACTGTTCTCACGTTGTGATATAAATTTTAAGAAATAGAGCGATCGTATTTTTCAATTTACGTAACGAACAATTAAAATCTTTACCGATTGTTATGAATGTTATGTCTGTTTCGAAGGAGAATGAATCGTTTCGGAAAATATTTTTACGAGCTATGCTATATTTGGAGTTATGATCTCCAATCTGGGAATCCCTGGATTATACAGTCTTCTTGCTTCCTTACCTCTTGCCTAACATTCGAGATTACAGCGCTAAATAATACGAACAGAAACAGATTGAAAATCTGAATGATATAGAAAATATCTCTAGATGACTGTCTAATCTCGTCCCTAATTACGCATAAGGCATCACTAAGACCATCAGTTTACCAGAACAACTAACTAACGCAAAAATCATGTACCGGTATTATTGTCTCTATGATTAGTACACCAAGCTAATTATCAGCTTGCTATCATTATCTTTTGGTCGATTCTCTCTTTCTCTCTATTTAGATATTTGTATATCACATTTAGACTTAACTGCTAGAGCATCTTACGATTGAGAGATGTATTTTTAATTTTTGTCTCAAAGCAGCATAAAACTCTAAAAGTAGGGAGAACGCTTGAGAGACTAGAATGTCTTTTAGACGTCTTCATGACGTTTTTTTTTTTATAGTTGTCTTTAGTTGTGTTGTCGTTGTGTTTCAACACTGATTAGTATAGATATCATTATCTCTCAAATTTTGTCACGATCCTCTTATTAATTAAGGAAGTTCATCAATAATTGGTCCGCCTGTGTATAGCGTTTCGACACTTTGGAAACGTCTCAGGAACAGAGTTGCATTCCGCTTTTCTCGCGGGACACTCTTCAAACGAGTTCTCCGGAAAGTGTGTCTCTCTCTCTCTC